AGTAATGATGCCTATCCCTACCATCATAATTATAGTTATAATGCTCGCCCCCGGTATCTTTAGGGACCTTTCAGAAGAGAGGGTGTGTGCTAGATTCCTAACACTGATGTCCAGTAATAGACTGTAGGGGAGGAAAAAGAGTTTTGTGAAGTAGCATATGCCATGTTCCTGCTTTCTGCTGCCTTGAATTCTGTTTGCGATCACTCTTTGGGAACACCTGTTGGTGCAGCCTTGGAGGTGCGGAGTCCTGGCGTGGAGTCACCTTTGTTCCCCGAAGCTCCTGCCTCCCCCTGGGAAGCATGAAGACACAAACTCCTCCTGTCGCTGCCAGGGACCTGTTTCATCATCAGTAAGCCCGACCAAATGCCTTTTACGGAAATCCCGGATCTGTCTGCTTCGTTGTTGGATCTTGTCTTCAAATTCACCAAACTCACGGCCCTTTCTTCCAACTCATACCAACACTGCTCCCCCATACTTAGAGGCAATTTATAGAGTTGAGGCACATGTATCACAGATGATCCTGCTCAGGTCCTTGAACGTGAGCCTTCTATGTAGCCTACTGTGTTGACTCTATGTTAGTAACAAATTATCTTGTTTTACTACTGAAATATGCGAGTTTTACTTATCATGGTGGAGTCCGTGGGTAGTGCAAATAGTGAACGTACTACTGAGTGTTTAGATTGGAGGTTCAGGTTCACCTGAAGCCACCTTGGAAGAAAGCCCGGACGAGCGACTCCTGGGCAGATCTAATCTGACGCAGAGGGCCGTCATCATGCATTAGGCTGACAGCAACTCATCACTGGGCTTTTGTTTTCTACAGTGAAGTGGCCACCGTTACAAAGACAATCTCTTTCTATGGTACACCTCACTTAAAGGCTACAGCACACGTACTGCTTTTTTAAAAAATCTTTTTTTTTAGATCTCAGTTTGTTTTTTTAACCTTCTCTTACTTTAAAAATCTTCTGTTCTGGATTGAACGGTGTCTCCCTGAAATGGTATGTGGAAGCCCTAACCCCTGTACCTGTGGTTATGATATTGTTTGGGGAAAACAGGTTTGTTATCAGTGAAGTTATATTCCCAATTCCTTCAGAGTGGTGTCTTATGAAGGGGGAGAACAAACACAGCATATCACACACACAGAGGAGATAGCAGGCAGAGATCAGGCTACAAGTCAAGGAATGTCAAGAAACGCCTAGGGCTATCAGAAACCGAAAGAGACAGAAGCATTTCCTCCTACACGCAGAGAGAAGCTGGCCTTGACCATGCCCTGATTTTGAGCTAGCTTCTAGAAAGAAGTTTCAGTGTTTTGTCACTTGACTGCTAACCAAAAGGTCAGCAGTTTGAATGTACCATCCACTGTCCAGGAGAAAGAGGTGACAGTTTGTGTCTTAGAAGATACAGCCTTGGAAGCCCATGGGGCAGTTGTCCTCTGTCCCATCGGGCCACAATGAGTTGGCATCAATGGCAGCAAGTAAGCACACTCTGGGTTCAGCTTACATGCATTGGGATGTTTGCAAAACACTCATAAGTACTCACTATCGCTTTCCCCACACTTAAAGAGAAATCGAGGCTAGAGAAGTAAGTATAACCAACAGAGGCACATAGTTTACATGCAGGAAGTGCTATAAGAATACAATCTGCTTGACCCTAGAGAACACTTTACAGTAGTGTTTCCCTAAAAGTAACAAGCCACACTTGATGTCTCCAAGGACTTTATTTGGGACACACAAACAAACTTATAAACAATGACTCACATAGTGAGAAAGTGGTTCCTATTTTGGCTCTAGTTTTCTACCCTTTTGATTACATCATGAAGACAACATCAGGTACTTCTACTTCCCTGCTTCTGAGATGATCCATTTTATACCCAGTAGAATGGCAAACTGACCAATCCCTGAGTTTGAGTCCTCTACACCTTATTTGCATGCTCCAACCCAGTCATTTGATCGGAAATACAAAGATAGTGGATGGAAGTATCTTGCAAATAAATTTCACTTCACTGCCTCATCCTTTTAACAAGAGAGCTTCTAGAACCTTTAATAGGAAATAGGTTTCAGCTAGAATTTTAAAACACTGTTTACTTTTCTTGCAGTTGCTTTCAATTTGGGATAGTGATGGTAGCTTTCTATTTACCGTGCTTTTATAAAATCACCGTTTTACATGGAACAACATATCAACCTGTGTGATCATGGGGTGTCGAACGGATCACTGAAGACAAATGGGTGCATAAGCAAATGTGGCGAAGAAAGCTGATGGTGCCCGGCTATCAAAAAGTATAGCGTCTGGGGTCTTAAAGGCTTGAAGGTAATCAAGCGGCCATCAAGCTCAGAAGCAACAAAGCCCACATGGAAAAAGCACCCCAGCCTATGCAACCACGAGGTGTCGAAGGGATCAGGTGTAAGGCATCATCAGAACAAAAAATCTTACCATAGTGAATGATGGGGGGAGTGTGGAGTGGAGATCCAAAGCCCATTAGTAGGCCACTGGAGATCCCCTTGCAGAGGGGTCTCGGGGAGGAGATGAGCCAGTCAGGGTGCGATGTAACAATGATGAGAAATACAACCTTCCTCTAGTTCCTAAAGGTTTCCTCCCCGCTCCCACTACCATGACTCGAATTCTATCTTGCAAGACTGGCTAGACCAGAGGAGGTACACTGGTACAGATAGGAACTGAAAATACAGGGAATCCAGGATGGATGAGCCCTATAGGACCAGTGGTGTGTGTGGCAAAACAGGGAGGGAAAAGGGAGAATGGGTAGGAAAGAGGGAACCGATTACATGGAACTGTGTGTGACCTCCTCCCTGGGGGACAGACAACCGAAAAGTGGATGAAGGGAGAAGTCGGACAGGGCAAGATATGACAAAATACCCATTTATAAACTATCAAGGGCTCATGTGGGAGGGGGGAGCGGGGAGGGAGGGGAAAAATGAGGACCTAATGTCGGGGGTTTAAATGGAGAGAAAATGTTTTGAGAAATGATGTACAAATACGCTTTACACAATTGATGTGTGTATGGATTGGGATAACAGTTGTATGAGCCCCTAATAAAATGTTTAAAAAATAAATAAATAAAATAAAATCACCGTCTTAAAAATGTCAGAAAAATCTGTTTATTTAAAGAATCATACTATCTTGCAGGTAGTAAACACAGATAAACCACGGAAACTTGACATTTGGGAAACTCCGCACCGACTGGCTGTTGTTATTAACTACTACTACTGAGTCATGCCGACCTCCGTGTGCAGAGCAGAGAGCTTCAAAGGGTTTTCAATGTTGTGCCTTTGGAAAGCAGATTGCCCGCCCTGTCTTGGAGCTGTCTCTGAATGGGTTTGAATTGTGACATTTTGGGGAGTAATTAACCATTTGTACCAAATAGGAGTGCCAACAAGTTCTCCAAAAACTCAAACGCACTGCCATTGAGTAGATTCTGACTCAAGATGACCGGTTTGGACTGAGCAGAACTGCGCGTGTGGGTTCCCGTAGGTGTCCATCTTTGCGGGAATGGAAAGCCTGGGCGGTCTACTCTAGCTAGCAGCTAGTGATTTCCACCTCCTACCTTGAGGTTATCGGAGCAGCGGATACTCACAGGGCTCCTTCCATCAGGTTAGTGTATCCAATCTTAGCAACATCCGAAACATTCTAACAGATTAGAAAATTGTTAGTAATGTACAGATTCTCTTTCAAAGCGGGAGGAAAGCAAGGCCAGAATTTCTAGAGCAGCACGGGCCAAGGCCATGTTCACTGGAAACTGGGTCCTTTGGTAAGGACAGTCCTTATGCACAGAAGTGGGCTGGGAATTAGATTTTGTTTTACAATGTATCTAGCAAATTCTCAGGATCTAGGTTTCTATAGTAAAATTTGGATAGTTTGTTTCCCTCAATAGAAAAGCAAGAAAGAAAGCTAGTCGTTGGCAGATTTTACAGTTGCACAAGACGTGGTGTTCTTAATTCATAGGGGAGGGAATAATCCTGGGCATCAGGCATTGGGGGAGGGGAGGCTGGGGCACAAGATGGGAGCAGGGAGGAACTGTAATCAGAGAAGCAGGCATATTCAGGATCAAAAAGAGCATGTGCAGAACAAAAAACCAAGTTTGCATCACTGACCTAATTGGCGAAACTGTTACCAGGATTCAAATTAAGCGAGGTGCCCAGGAACTACAGCTGTTATACATATTTTGGTTGCATGTGATGGGAACTGTTACTTCGCAGCTTGGCAGCCTTAAGATGCAACTTGCGAAGCTCTGGTCAAGTCTTGGCAATCCCAAGGAAAGGCCTCCTACTTCCCTGTTCCTATCCCAGTCTAACCAGAAAAGGGGCCAGAGGGGCAGGGGGAGTTGCTGCGGTGGGTGGGAAGATGGCACTGTGCTCTTCTCCCAAACATTTCTAAACAGCAACCGAGTGAACTTGCACTATGCCAGGAGATCATCGCTTGGTTAGATCAAGTGTAACGCGTCCCTTTTGGTTACTGTTGTAATTTCTGACAAGCCTAGGGACGCCAGTCCTCCCTTTAGGGGGCACAGCTTCTTCCTTTTCCCTGAGACCCCGCCCTTGACCTCAGCCGAGCCACAAAAGGCTGTGCTGGTCCAGCCGGGCCGGCGCCCCGGCCCCGCCCCCGCCCCCGCCCCAAACGTCGCAGCGCTGCAGGGAAAGGAGGCGGTCCGCCCGGGGGCGGGGTCGGCTTCGGTTTTCCGCTCTGCGCCCAAGCGGTCGGTGACGTCTAACAGAGGCGGACTGGGGCGCTGGGCGTCGAGACCGCCCCCGTGTTTTTCCCCCTTTTATGCCACGTCCCAACCATTGACGTGAGCCCACTCTTCAGGTTGTGATTGGATGCTTAGATTCCTCTGCAAAAGTCCTTCTAACGTATTGGTCGGAGCTGTTGTAGGGGCGGAGCCTCCTTCCTCTCTTCCTTCACATCTGCCGCGGCGCAAGGGGCGGGACGCGCCGCCGCCAGCCCTGCTTCCGCCGCCGCCGACGCCGCGGCCGCCGCCAGCCCCTGCGCGTTCCGCGGGGGAGGAGTCGGAGGCGGAGAAGAAGGCGGTGGTGGCGGGTGGAGGATCGAGCGCTGTTCTCGCTCCGGAGCGCCGCACATTCGGTGAGGGGATTTTTTTTTTAACTGTCCTCTTGTGATGTTGGGCGTGCGGGGGGTCGGGGCAAGGAAAGTGCGACCCCAGCACCTCGATTTGTTGGCTTCGCCCCTCTTCGAAGCAGCGAGGCCTGCCCCAGGGCCGCCGCGCCGGCCATGGTGGGTGGGGTTGATGGCTGGGAGAGGCCTTCGCCGCCTCCTGGGCCTGGCCCAACACGGACCTGGGGCCGAGCCTGCGTCGGGGGCGGCTGCCCGGAGGATGACATCGCCCGGGGTCGAGGGGCTCCGCCACCTGCCCATTCCTGCTGCCCGCTCTGCTGTCCTTGGTTCTTTGGCCAAGGACCCCCGCCCCGCAACCTCTCTTCCCACACGTACCCCTGATCGTGAACGTGCCCCCACTGACACCCACAGCCGCATTCCCTGCCCACCTCCAGCCATCCCGCAGAGCGCTCCTCCGTCTTAGGCCACAGGCCTGCAGCCCCCTCCCCCGAAAAGCCGTCCGCGATCCTGGTCGCCCTGGTGGGTGCATGTCCATTTCCCCAGGCTGTCAGCGGGACTCGGCCCGGAGATGCCCTGCACGAACCACAGCGATCGCTCTGCTCCCGGTGCCAGCACCCTTCCATCAGGGCTTCTCTCCTGGAGAGATGTCAGGGCTGGCATCTGCACCTTCGGAGCTGGCCTCCCTGAGATTACTTACTGTGTGATAAGCATTTTGCGCACATTCAAAATGGTGAGTTTCAAGCCGCTCCGACCAAGTTGAAGGAAAAGGAAGGGGAGGCAGAATGATCTATTTGAAGACTTGCCTTCAGGCATTTAAAAACAAATAAAAACTCTTATACATCTGGATAGACACTGCTCTATCTGTTCTGGTTCTGTGAAGTTGACTTTTTTTTTAAGGTTTCATATTTTTCCATTTTTATCAAAATATTGGTTAGTTATAGTTCTTTAAAATGGCACTCACCTTTGCTGAAGACTCACCTACCATTTGAAGAATATGCAAATACACCGGAAGATAACGGAAATAAACGATTAAACTCTTTTTTCCATTCTGGGATTGCCTTCCGAAATCATGTAATTTTTATATGAATACATTTAATTTTTTTGCTCAATTACAGGCATGCAACGTTGGTATAAAATCCAAACGATATTTTGAAACAAACTGTTACATAAAATGTGACAAATTTTCTTCACTCCTCTATCTCACTCTAGTGTGTAGAGTTAACAATTTAGTATGATCTTTAAAAATTCTTTTACAAATGCAGTTTTACACACACAAAACTTACGGTGGGGAGTTCACACCAAACACATTGCTTTTTCACTTGTCAAGTGTCACTTGCTTTTTCACTTAAATTACCAATCTTGAACTTCTTTCCTTGGTATATATAGGCTCAACTGTTTCAAAGGCCAAGTAGTCTTTCATTAACTTAACCATTCCTTTACGATAAACCAGAACCCCAACTCATTGTCATGGAAATCAATTCCAGCTCATTTAAATTAATTGCAGCTATTTTTGGCTGTCAGTGAAACTTTCTATGATATCAACTTTTTAATCTAGTGATTGGTTTTTAACCACAAACTTTAAAAGTCACACTTAAAATCTAAATAGTATTGAAGAATGTAAGGTGAAAAGTACAACTCCTCCATTAGTCTTACTTTAGTCTCAACTATTAACAATCTATTAAACTATTAAACTTTCTCTCTGGGTTGTTATTTCTACAACATTACATCCTAGAAATGGAATTTTAAGGGCGTATTTTTAAAATTGAGAACATTTTATCCCCACTTAATACTCTTTTTCTCTTCACCAGTAATCATAGCAGTTTCTTTCTACTTCTTCCTAGAGATGAATTTTAGATGCAACTTGTAAAATAAAAAAATCCTAAAGTGAATTTGAATGGTGGTGTATTGAAATTTCAGATCGGTTTAGAAGTAACTTAACCTTATTAGTTTGTGAAAAGTGGTATGTCTCTGTTTTAGTTAGATCTTTATGTTCCTAGAGAAAGTTTTATACTAGTTTTTTTTCTTTCCCTTCTCATATATAATATGCCTTTTATTAGTATTCTTAGCTATTTAATGATTTGATTCCTGTGGTAGATGGAGAGACTTCAGTAACATGTTCTCAATGTTTTCCTCTGATTATAGCTTTCTGATTTTCTGTATTTATCATGCTTCTAATCATTTAATTGGGTTGATCAACTCACCGACATCCAGTCACTTCCACTCTTAGTTGACCCTATAAGACAGTGTAGGAAATCCCTTGGGACTTCTGAGACTAAAGCTTTACTGGAATAGGAAGCCTCATCTTTCTCCTGAGGAGCTGCTGGTGGTTTTGAACTTCAAACCTTCTGGTTAGCAGCCCAATGTGTAACCCACTGCACTTGTCTATAAAGATAATCTATTTTGTGATTTCCTTTTCAGCTTTTATAATTATACTTTTCTCATTGCTTTGGCTATTTATACATTCCTGTGTATAAATGCATAATAGCAGTAATACTAGAAATTTGCCTTTTCGAACTTTAAGGAGAGTGTTTCTGATGTTTTAGGGCATGTTATGTTTATGGAAACTGAAAAATAGCGAATATTAAGTTAATATGGCGCGCTTTTTTTGGCTTTACGGGAGGATCGATTTTTTTTCATATCATGTTGACCTTTTAAAAACCATAAATATGGGTTGACTTTTATTAGGTGTTTTCAGAGATCTTTCTAGATAGGTATAAGTAGGTATCATCAGTATTCCTTGGTTAAACTTTCCTAAACCACCTTTTCAAAATAATCAACTTTACTGAGGATAATTAACATATAATATATACCCATTAAAGTGCATGGTTTATTGGGTTTTGCCTATGGTGTGAGCGTGTAACTAGGATACTGAAATCAAGAGTAACATATTTTCAGCATCACAGTCGAGACACAGACGGTTTCCATCATCCTCAAGCTCCCTTCTGCCCCTTTTCAGTCGATTTGCTTTCACTCTCAGCCCCAGGCCTCACCCCCCCCACACACACACTGTCAATTAGTTTCATTTATTAGAGAAGTCTATATACGTTGAATTATGTAATATGAATTTTTTCACATCTGGCTTTTTCGCTCAGCATGATACTTTTGGTATCAACTACATCTTTGTTACGTTTAACTACTGGTCCAGGGTACTGATTTACCATAAATTGTTTAGATCACTTCACCTGTATATGACGTGTGGGATTCCAGTTTGAAGCTGTTGTTAATAAAGCTATTACTAACATTCGTTTATGATTATTGTGTGAATATATTATTTAATTTCTTGGGCAGATACCTAGAACTAGAACTGTTGGTTTCTATCATAGGAGTACGCATACCTGTATGAGTTTTCCAAAGTGGTTGTGCCATTTTCAATATCCACTAACAACATGCGACAGTGTCAGTTTGCTTTGTATCCCCATCAACACTTGATATTGTGTAAGTTTATATTTTTACTCTTCTAATAGCTAAGTAGTGCTATAACACTGAAATTTTAATTACCATTTTTAGGATGATTAAAGATGTTCAGTATCTGCCCATGTGCTTATGTGTTACTTTTTTTTATCTTCCTTTGTGAAGTGTCCAAATCTCTGCCTTTATTTTTTTAAGTCATATTTTGTTTCATACTTTTATACAATTGTATACTTTTAGACAATTGTACAGCTGTAAAAATTATTGCCATATTTGTGTAGGATGTTTGTTAGATGCACACACGTGCACAAACTTGCCTTCCCATTTTCTTAATTTTGTTAAAGAGAAGGAATTTTAAGTTTTGATCATTTGCAATAATAATGTGCCTTTGTGTTCTATCTAATAGGTCTTTGTCCCAAGAAACGTGTGCATTTCCGCTGTTTCCTCGTAGAAATTTTAGAGATTTGGTTCTGGTGTCAGAGTGTGACATTCATTTTGAGTTAACTTCGTGTGGTACATGTAAAGAGTATACATCTGAAGAGGGTGGTACATGGCTCCATTTATTTTTTAATGGAAAATCAGCTTTTATAAGATCAATTTTTGGGAATACTTTCCTCTCCCCGTTGAATTTACATTGTAAAAATTCAGTTGGAGATAGTTGTGAGCCTGTTTCTTGAATTTAAAGGTTGTTTGAAAAGGTCTCAACATTATCTTCTGATATATATATATGTATATACTTAATATATACATATATATTTCTATGTATAAATACATTTTTATTTCTTTTCTGCTCTCTCAAGGGTTTTAGTTAAAACACATGCTAGTTTATTTGATAATGAGCATCTCTGTTCCTCCTTTTATTGGTAACCAATTTGTTTCTTGATGTGGATAATGTTTAATGAGTTCACTTACACTTCAGCTAGTATACTGATAAAAAGCATTCTTCTGCTCTATTATTATGTTTTTCAACCCCTAGCATTTGCATTTCCATCTCTTGGAATTCTTCATCTGTTTATCCGTGTTTTACATCATTTCTTCTATAGGCTTTATCTGTAATCGGTTTCTTCTCTGATAGTTTCAGTATCTAGTTCTGTTGATGTTTTGTCTCTTGTCAGGTTTTTTCCCCTCCTTTTCTTTATTGTCCTGCTATTTTTAAATTGAATCGTAGGCATTATTATGTATGGATTAGGGCTGTGGTAAATAATGTTTATACCTGCATGAAAGTTTGCCTCTTTTCTGCTAGATTGTTAATGTAGCAGGTTCTGTTCTGAGCTCAGCCAATCAGCAGTGTGGCTGTTTAAAATTTGTTGTTAGAGTTACCATTAGAGCACTCAAGCAAAAAGAGACCCAAACTCACTGCTAGGAATTGAATCCACTTCATAGTGCCCCTGGAAGACAGAGGAGAGCTGCCCCCCGAGGTTCCTGAGCATGTATGGAACACGTTTCTGCTGTTGGCTTCAAATTCCTCTAACATTACCGTGTACTTAGTGTCATGGCAGTTGGACCCTCAGATTCCATCTTTCTCTGTGTGCCTGGATCTTGAGAAAGTCTCCATATGCTAGCATTTTCCTCATCCATAGATTCCTAGATAGCAGGTTTTG